GCCCCCTGCCTGCCTCCATGCCAGCCTCCTTGCAGGGCCCCAGTTGGGGGTGGAGGAACATGGGGGTGGGGGTTCTGTGCCCTCTCAGGTGATTGCTACTTGGTCCAGAACCATCTCACCATGAGACGGGGAAGGAACTGCTGGGCCAAATGAAATGTCGGGAGCGGGGTCTAGGCCCTGGGCTACCTACGTGAGGTGGGGAGTATGGGGTGGGGTGGGATGGGCTCCTGAGCCATTTCTAATGGGAAGGGGCTCAGACTCCGGGATACCTCGGTCACAGGGGTAGAGGAGGGGGAGGGGTGTGGAACATCTATAAAACTCCAGTCCAGAATAATATCCAGTGGGAAGGACAGGGACCGGGAGTTCCTGAATCCATTTCCAGTGGGCTTCCTGAGGCCCAGACCCATCTCTAATAAGCTTCAGTTATGTGGGAGTGGGGGTTTCAAACGTGAGAGAACAGTTTAACCCTCTTCAATGGGGGGATCAGGCCTAGCTCCTGAACCGCCCTTGGTTGGGGAAACTTAGGTACTGGATCATCATGTGGGGGGAGGGCAATGATTCTGGGTCAGGTAGATGGATGAGGCCGGAACCATCTCTATTATGGGGCCATCTCTGGCCATCTCTAATGTGGTCAGAATCCAAAACGTTTCTATGGGATGCAGGGGGCGGAGGGGGAAGCAGTGTGACTCCTGAACCTTCTCTAATGAATGGAGAAGGGATCTGATTTGGGGCGATCCTTATGGGTGTATAGATCATCTCTAAGGGGGCAGAGCTTGATTCTTGGACGCTTTTAAAGGGGCAAAGGCTTGTTTCTGGACCATCTGTGCCCGAAGTTGCGCTCCGGGCTGCTGGTCCACTCACGCTCCCCTCACCCCCTCCAGTCTCTCCCTCCTCTCTCCTGCAGGCAGCAGCGCGCTTCTTGCAAATCACCAGAGGAAAGGAAAGGTGAGATCGGCGCACAATCCCGCGGGACCGGAATGCGCGGGCGCGCGCACCGTTGCCAGGGGCTCCCGGGATCCCTCCCTCCTTCCCCAAAGCCCGCGTTGGCGGGGGAGGAACCTACGGAGCATGCGCACGGAAGCCAGGCTCCGCGTGTGCCTCCCGGTGGCTTGGCGTGAACGTCGCCTGGCGACCCACTTAGACGGGGCGTCCCCACCCCCACCGCCCCTCTGCCCCGGAGCACTTTCCTCCCTAGGAAAGAAGTCACTGTGCCCAGCACAGCTGTAATTCCTACCTCGTGGCAGTCTCGGAGGAAGTGCTGCAGCTCAAGTTGGTCGTGTAGCTTCTGCATCCACTGGTGGGCCCGGAGTTGGTTTTCTTGGCTCCTAAGGATGGGGAGATCGGGACTGGGGAAAACCTGAGTGGGAGCACAGGCAGTAGGGCTGTGAGGGAGGGCATGGGGCTTGGCAGGGAGGAGGAGGAGGAGGAGAAGACAGCAAGGTGGGAATAGGGGAAGAGGCAAAGAAACATCAGTGGGGTAGAGACAGGGACAGAGGTGGAGAGGTGCAGAGAGAGAAAGACAGACACACAGACATCTAGGAAGAAACAGATACAGACAGTGATAACAGAAAACTTAGTGAGAGACACCTAGAGAGAGATTAAGAGGGAGAGATAGACTCAGAGAGAGAGAGAGAGAGAGATTGTAAAGGCCTAGAGAGAGGTAAACAGAGACACACATAGACACAAGACCAGAGACAAAGAAATAAGCAAAGACCTCCAGGGGGGTGGTTGACAGAGACCTACAGACAAAAAGAAAGAGACCGAGGTAGAGAGAAAATAGGAAAAGGAAAGGAAAGAAATGAAGCAGTATTATTGCCAGAGACAGAAAGAGAGGCAGCAGTAGAGGAGAGAGAGAGAGAGAGAGAGAGAGAGAGAGAGGTGCAACAGAGAGAAGAGAGCAGGGCCTGGGGAAAAGAGGGGCTGGAGCTACTGGAGGGTGGACCGGTGTGCCAGCAAGGAGGGGCAGACCCTTGGCCTGAGTGAACTGACCAGACTGGACCCAGGCCCCAGGCCCCAGGCCCCAGGCCCACAGTGTAGGGCAAAGTGCCCAAGAGGCCTGGTGGAGGGGCTGGGAGCATCTAATTTCACTGCGCCTTGAACAAGCCACTCCCACCCCATGGCCTGCCGCTGGCTGCCCTCTCTGCCCGAAATGCTCTTCTCCCAGACATTTACTCAAATGTCACCTTCTCAGTGAGGCCTTTCTTACCACTCCCCAACACTTTCTTCTTTCCTTCTTTACGGTTCTTCCTTGCATTTAACACTAGCACAATGTATATGCTATTTGTTTATCTTGTCTTTCTCCCCTAGGAGGATGTCATTCCATGAGGGCAGGAATTTTGGTCTGTTTTGTTCACAGCTGTATCCCCAATGCCTAGGAAAAGAGTCTGGCACATGGTAGGTACTCAATACATATTTGTTGAATGTATGAATGAATGAATGAATGAATGAGTGAATGAGAGACAGAGAAAGAGATGACAGAAACAAAAGTGTGTGTGTGTGAGAGAGAGAGAGAGAGAGAGAGAGAGAGAGAGAGCAGTGAAGGCAGAAAAACAAGGAGAGGGAGAGGGAGAGGGAGAGGGAGAGAGAGAGAGAGAGAGAGAGAGAAGGAAAGAGACACAGAGATGCACAGGTAGATCGAGGCTGCTGGAGGCCAGATAGAGCAGGTGAGAAAAAGTTGCAGAGAGCCAGGGCACAGTTGGAAGAAAGTATAGGAAGGGCCAGAGACAAACAAGAAGCGGACTGACTTTTTCATGCCCAGACTCAGCTCAGAAGCCGATCAAATGCCTCTGAAAATGAACTGAAATCAATCCCTCCAGGCCATCACCAGTCAACATGTCAACCATCAGTCCTCAGGATGAGGAAAACCTCCAGGAGGGTGAAAAATGGCATGGTTCAAATCCCATCTGGGCCACTTCCTGGCTGTGACCTTGAGCAAGTTAATGACCCTCTCTAAGCTTCATGTGCAATATGCAGATAAGGACAGCACCTGGCACCCAGGCTGGGCCAGGGTCCAGGCTAGGCAAGGCCCACAGACAGACTAAGTGACTTGCCCAGAATCTCACAGGTTGAGGGGCGGAGCTGGGACTAGGATCTGACTCTGTCTCAACCCAGGGCCCCAGTCCCCAGCTCTGCATGGTTGTGCCCCACTTGTGTGTGGACAGTAATTCCTCCCTCCATGAACGGATGTTTTATCACTTCTACCTGATGGGAAAGCCATCCCTAGACCGGTAAATAACTGGGAGCTGGGAGGAGGGGTGCAAGAATTGGGTCTGTCTCAATTCCTGCTGTGCTCCCAGCCTCACCCAGCACCAGCCTTGGGCAGATGCACCCTCTGGGCTCACACAGCCCCCCTGCAGTTCTCTCATCCTGGCCCCGATCACTCTGGGCCATCCTTGTCAGACAGTGGGCGAGCTCTGTGAGGGCAGGAATCGTGTCCTGTACTGGTCACTGCTCTGCCCCACACAGGGCCCAGAACACAGTACAGACTCTACCTGTTTAATTGGCTGAAGAATAAATGAATAAACAACAGAATGAAAGGAGCAACCAATGACTGAAAAGGGATGTAGAGTGAAGCAGAGAATGACCATCCTTCAGGTTCCTCCTCCTCAGTTCTGCAGGGCCCAGCATATAGCAGGCACTCAAGAAATAAGAGACAGCCCATGCCCTAGCTGTTTGGCTCAGTGGAAAAAGTGTCAGCCTGCAGACTGAAGGGTTTTGGGTTCGATTCTGGGTTGCAGGCTCAATCCCTAGTAGGTGGCATGCAGGAGGCAGCTGATCAATGATTCTCTCTTACCATTGCTGTTTCTATCTCTTTCTCCCTCTCCCTTTCTCTCTGAAATTCATAAAAATATATATTTTTTTAAAAAGAGAGAGATAGCCCTGGCAGGTGTTTCTCAGTGGTTAGAGCATCGGCCCACACACCAAAAGGTCTCAGGTTCGATTCCCCAGTCAAGGGCAAGTACCTGGGTTGTGGGGTCTCCCCCCCCCCCCCCCCGCCGGGCACCAAAAGGTTGAAAGCTCAATTCGGGTCAGGACACATGCCTAGGTTTCGGGTTTGATTCCCATCAGGGTGCTTGGGGAGGCAATGGATCAATATTTGTATCTGACATCGATGTCTCTCTCTCTCTCTCTCTCTCTCTCTCTCTCTTCCTCCCTCCCTTCCTCCCTCTTTCCCTTCCTTCCTCCCTCCCACTCTCTCGGAAAAGCTTGAAAAAAATATCCTCTGGTGAGGATTAACAAACAAAAAAAAGAAACACGAGACGAAGGAAGGGTCAGGCCTGGAGTGGGGGACACTGGATCATGAGTTTTCGGCCTCAGGACCAGAATCCCCTTAAAAGTTTCCTTTAGAAAGCTCCAGCCTCGGAAAAGGAGGCTGGGGCCTTGGGGTGTGGATGGTGGTAAACAGGTGTGCTTTCCATCATGCCATGGGAAGACATGCCCGCCGGTGTGGCTCCGTGGTTTAGCATCAGTCGATCCATGAACTAGGAGGTCATGGTTTGATTTTAGGTCAGGGCACAAGCCTGGGTTTCAGGCTCGATCCCCAGTTGGGGGCGTGCAGGAGGCAGCCGATCAATGTTTCCCTCCCATCATTGATGTTTCTATCTTTCTCTCCTTTCTTCTCTGACATCAATACAAATATTTTTTTAAAAAAAAGAGATGAGAAGACACAAGGAGGGCCGCTGAGCCCTCTGCCAGCCTGGATCAGGGCAGAGAGGGGAAATCTGGGGTCACCAGGAGGGGCAGAAACAGTGAGAGTGACAAGGAAGTGGGTCTGGAGGAAACCCTATAAAGGACTCTACCTGAAAGCTGAGATTTTGTTTTGCTTTGTTCAGGGTCTAGAATAGTGCCTGGCACACAGTAGATGCTCAATAAATGTCTTTGCTTGATTAGTACAAGGACAGTCAAGAGACAGGGCAGCGGTGACAGGTAGATAGTGACACACAAACACACACTCTGCATACCACTTCCTAGAGAACCAGCCGATGTTCTTTCCCAATATTTGACAACCAGCACAGCAGGGGACACCATCCCATTGAAAAGCTGGGACAGGACCTGTGTGTGGCCATGAGCTAGGAATCCGGGGATGTCCCGGGTTCCCAGGGAGGGGCCAGAACAGCAGGGCAGATTTGGGGCATCCAGGAAGATATGGTAACATTTTCACAACCAGCCCAGCTATCCCAGGCTGAGGGCAGGGCTCGGAGAGAAACTTTTCATCATATATCCTCTTGTATCTTTGGGTTGACAACCACCAGTTAGTTACCTTTTCACAAAATGTCAATTTAAATAAAATCTAAAAGCAATATAGAATTAAATAGAAATCAGAGAGGGGCAGAAAAGCAGAAGCTGTGGTAGAAAGGAGCGGAACCTTGGCCTCCTCACCCCTCCCCTTGCCCCTGGGACTGAGGGACCTACTTCTCCAACAGCTGGGCCACAGCCTCCTGGGCCTGCTCCCCGTAGATGTTGCCCTGCCTCAGCAGGCCCTCCACCGCCTGCACGGCCACATGCATCTTTTGCTGGTTCAGCTCCATTGTGGTGAGAAAATCCCGGTGTTGTTTCAATGCCTCCTCCACCGACTCCACTGTGCCCGGGAGCTCCAGACCTGACAGTGCCAGCTCCTGGGAAGGGTGGTGCACAGGTCAGATACCCTCCCCACCCCCACCCCCCCATTCCAGGACCTGGGAGAGGTGGCCAGCCTGGGTTCCAACACCGCTCTCTTCCCTCTTGCTTCTGGCATCAAACGCATCAGGTATGGTCCCACCCCACCCAGGGCCTTTGCTCATGCTGGTTCCTCTGTCCGGTAGTCTGTCCCTCCAGATAACCCATGGCTGGCTCCTTCACTTTCTTCAGATCTCTGCCAGAAATATCACCCTTCCCACCCCAGCCATATCCCTTCCCCCTGCTTTATCATTTATAGCATATACCTGACATAATATCATATATGCATTTACTCATTTATTGTCTCCTCCCCCACATATGTACACACACACACTAGAATGCCAGCCATGTGCAGGTGGAATTTTGTATTTTGTTTCCTTATGTGTTCTCAGCCCCTCAGGAGTGCCTCCTACTGGGGAGGCACTTAGTAAATATTTGGTTAATTGATAAAGATGGAACTGGTAAAAGGGGGGGGGGGCGGGTCAGAAAGGGTCTCTCAAGACCACCTCAGCTCCAATGTTTAGTAACTCCATGAATCTAGGGCAGTGGTTCTCAACCTTCTGGCCCTTTAAATACAGTTCCTCATGTTGTGACCCAACCATAAAATTATTTTCGTTGCTACTTCATAACTGTAATGTTGCTACTGTTAGGAATCGTAATGTAAATACCTGATATGCAGGATGGTCTTAGGCGACCCCTGTGAAAGGATCGTTCGACCACCAAAGGGGTCGCGACCCACAGGTTGAGAACCACTGATCTAGGGGCTCCCGTCTGTCCCCCCAGATAATCCTCCCACTAAGTCAGCTTTCTCTAGGTGACCAGCACTGGTGGTCACTCTTTCTCAAATGATCCCCGGAAGTTGGCCCTACTCTTGGACAATCTGAAAACTGGTGTTCCATCTTGCCCAAATCCCAAACTTGGTTCCCAAGCCAGAATGATCTCGAAATTGGATCGCTGTTCCCAGAGAACCAGCACACTTGATTCCTCGGCTACAAACACAGTCACCGCCTCCGGAGAACCTGCAAGCTGCCAGCCCCAATAAGATCATATGCTAATCTAAGCACCCACACCTCATGATCCACAATCATTTACTGATCCAAATAATCTCTCTGCCTGAATTACCTCCTTCCATAGTTTTTACCCTCTGTCCTGTTAGGATAAAGATTATCCACCCCAAGATTTTTTTTGAACCCCATTAACCATCACCAGTCATCGTACTCCATTTCCTTCCAGATAAGTCACAAATGCAGGAAGCCACTCCAAGGAACAGCCAAGTGCATTACTCACTCAGGATGGCCCACAAACTGTTAGTCACCTCAGCTAAGACATCAACCCTCCCGTCCTAATCCTCAAATTCTGTTACACGCATGCCCACACATGTTCACACCGGATGATCCACACATGCAACTATCTATACCAGATACTTTCCCCACTTCCACTCACCTCCAATAGACCACAAACCCAATGGTCCCCGCAAACACACGCCTCCATTCACTTCCCTGTCGCGCCAGTTCCGCACAGTCTCGGACCCCGACCCGGACCCGCGTGAACCCCCAAGCTGGCACCTGGTTGCGCAGCACGGCCAGCGCCTGGCGTAGGTCTCGCAGGAAGAGCTGGTAGACGTGCGCCTGGACTAGCGCCTCCCTGCGCGCCTCCCACAAGCCGAGCAACTTGTGCCAGCCAAGTTCGAGGTGCGGCAGCCACTCGTCCAGCGCCAGGCCTGGGCCCAGCTCTGCGCTGG